GTTTGACAGTTCTCTGTCATAACATTCATAAAATAGACGCAAATATGTATTTTCAACCAGCGTGCCAAAATTTTTTTAAAAAATAAAATCCTTGTAAATCATTATTTAAAGGTGTTAAAAATTTGAAAAGTAATTGATTTAAGATAATTAAAGAGTGTAGAATTCAAAAATATTAAGCATTTTGTGATCACTTTTGCGGTTTATTGTAAAATTTGTTCTAAAGTTCGAAAGGACCCGTGTCCAAATCGGATAGTACAGTGAATAACTTATAGGCCTGGTTGTAGTACTGGTGATCAGCTGATCAGATCTGACCAAACAATTACATCAGTAAAATATCATGAGCCATCAGACTCAAATTAGTTGAGTTTTATTAATTTCAATTATAATAATATAAACAGTAATTTCTTTTCCGAAAAAATGTTTATCTTTGACTATCAAATTGCTCGTTTTTACTCAATACTAAGAAAAATACACATTAAAATACTTGAAAATTTTATCTAAAAATTCATAAAAATAGGAGTTTTCGATTCGAACCAGGGGATGGTCCGATTTGGAACCATTGATTCCAAATCGGACCGGAAAAAGCGTTTTTACATTTTCCATTACAGTTTAACACAGATGAGAGATACGTCAAAATGGTCTAAATCCATAATGAAGGGAATTAAATGATCTTTCCAATGGCACCTTCGATTTTACGATTGGACTTTATTTACGCCTTATAGGGAGCAAAAACTTCAAATAGGTCCGATTTAGATCACTCTCCCCTATATATGCATATATGTATATACACATATATATGCAAATCGATTATTTTAAGGACATTATATACGATAATTGTATATAGTGTATAATTGGCTGATGATTCGTGTATTTCTAATGTACTCAATATATGATAACTAATAACGGAAATATGGACCAAAAAATATAAAATGATTACTTCGAGGACTTTATATGTATAATGATTACTTTGGGGTACTTTATACATATGTATATTGATTACTTTGGGGTACTTTATATGTATATTGATTACTTTGGGGTACTTTATATGTATATTGATTACTTTGGAGTACTTTATATGTATTATACAGGGTGGACCATCTGAAGTGATCCAGTCAAATATCTCGAAAACTAGTAGGGATAGAGAAAAATGTTTCGTATGAAAAGTTTAGGGTTACACGGGGGAAGTATGGTACTGACCTTGAAAAATCCTTGGAAGGTCATTTTGAAGGTCATTCAGGGGTCACGATGGTTTTTTTAAATGGAACCCCTAGTTTTTCACCATGGGATGAGAAAGCTGGTTTCAAG